GAAAACAGCAAGGCTGATGTGTCTCATTTTCTAGCTCTGGAGAACAGCCTCAAACCCAAGCCATTCCCAGGCTGTGCTGCAGCCTGCTGCCAAATCTCTGCAGTAATGCTGTGGTAGCTCTCAAAGGGGTTGGCTGCGATGGGGCTGGGTCTCCTTTGCCGGGAGCATGGGGAGCCTTTTGCTCCCTGGCAAGCTCCTAGGATTGAAAACTTGCTCTGCAGAGCTTCAGGCAGCAGTGACTAACTTCACAGGGTTGCTCACAAAGTTTGTCCGGGATGCAGCTTTGCTAGTTTTATTTGTCATGCTGAAACACTCTGTGTTTCAGGCTCAGCCTGCTGTGGTCTTTGGAGGAGGCTGCAAGAGCTGAGTCCTGGGGACATCCCAAGCCCAGAAGTTAGTCAAGATACACTTGGTGGGAATTCAGGCTGGCGATGCAGGTATTAATTAGTGTGAGTGTTTTTCCTGGGAAGCTGCTGTTTGCCTTCTTAAATACATGAAGTTATTTTGCACAGGGGTTACCTCTGGATGAGGGATGTTGTGCTCCTGCATTCAGCTCTTTGCTGTAGGTATTCTCTCAGAGCCAGGATGTGACCTGAGCCTCCTCTCCATCCTTGTGCATCCTGCTGGTGCCTGTCCACTCCCTGCAGATGATGTGTTCTGTGGTGGGAGTGGTACCCTGGCAGCCTGGAGGTACCAGCATAACTTCCCCACACAGTTCACTTGATCTTCATCTATTACCTCAGCAGGAGGATTTTGTGTGTCAGTTAAAGATCCTTTGGGTAACCCACCACAAAGTGTTTTCAAATGTGCTGCATTTCAAATGTATTTATCTAATCTCAGTGAGGCTTTCCTGAAAAGCTTTCTGTAGCCACAGCTGAAGTAGGTTTATGCTAGAAACATGCATTGAGGGTTTCTTTTTCTCCCAGCCAGGGGTGGCTTGTGTCATCGCATACATACACAGAGAGCAGGTGGTTGCCAGTGCACACATGTGGCACTGCTGCTTGGCATTGGCTTTGTGGGACTGTGGCTGGCCCAGCTGTGTCACTAAGGGAGAGCTCTGCACTGTCTTGGGCTCCTTGAGCTGGCTTCCAAAAACACTTGGTGTTGCTGAGTATTTTTTGGGGTGGCTCTCACTGAGGGAAGAGAGAGTCATTTTGCTTCTTTCAGCAGTTCCTAGCAATGTGTCCCACCCCAGATGAGCTCATGAAACCACAGCAGAAACATGCTGTTTTGATGGTGTTCAGTCAGACTGAGCAGGGCTCACCTTTGCTCTCCATTGGGTGCTGCAAAAACTCTCTCATCTGCCAGTTCTGTCAGCCTCCAGTGGCTAAACCATGCATGACCACGGCTCTGCCACACAGTGGTGCTGGGAGGTCCCCCAGCTGGAGGAGTGGAGCAAGCAGAGGCATTTCGTTCTTCATTCAGTACAGATGGTGTCTGGTTTTTATAGGTTTTACCCAAACTCTGACATAATGGCATCCCACACAGATAACCCTCTGCTTGGACAGCCTTCTTGAGCCTCTGTCCCAAAAGCCTGGATGAGGTGGAGGGGACCAGGGCTATGTGTCGACCCTGCTGACTGCAGCTGTTTCCTGGAGCAGGGCTGTGCAGCTCCTGTGAAGAGCTGAGTCCAGCTCTGGGCTTCTGATGCCTTCCACCCAAAGATGTCTGGAAAACATCTGGAAAGACTGCTACCAGTTTTTTCTTGCAGCTCAAATCTGACGCATGGCTGGGACAATGGTTTCCAGCATGTTCATCTATGGCACCTTAGGTGCTACTGTCAAAACAAAACCCAAGTTTAGGGCTCTTATTGCACTTTAACGCTTACTTATCCCAGTTTGCTTTGGTCTCATGAGGTGTTCATCTCAGGGATCTTGGCTGAGCTGAAATGGTTGTGTCCCAGAATGGAAGATAAGGAAACAGTTTCTCCTGTTTCACCAGGGAGCTGGATCCCAGCATTTCCTGACCTAAAATCTATGCTTCCCATGTGGAGCTGCTGTTTAGTGTTACACTAAAGTAAGTTCCCATTCTACTTCTGTTTAGTGTTACACTGCTAATGCCACAATGTAATGCTAGAGGCACCTAGCTTAAAATATCATGTTTTAATACCCTAATCACCTACCCCTTCAGAGAGAGATGCCTCCACACTAACTCCAGCACAAGCGTGAAAGGTTTGGGGATGCTGAGACGCCTAGAGGAGAACTGATCCATTTCCTTCCTGAGCTCTCCTAGTGCACACTGCTGCCTTGTGTGTGTTTTGTACTGTCCAGGTGTGCTTTGATGGATGTGTGCTTTGATGCCCTGAAGCATATCTGTGGAAAAGGACAGACCCACCTCCTTTAAGTTCAAACCCAAGTGGATTTGACTGTCCTGTTCCTCTTTGCTCCTGTCTGTGTGTCCCAGCAGTCTGTTTTGGCACGAGCTCTTGACACTCTGGAGCTGTTGTGCTGTTGAGCACGTGGCTGTGTTTGCCTGGGGTTGGGTGGTTGCTACCCTGCTGAGTACTCTTGGTGAGACAGGTCAGACGTGTGGGGAACTAGGTGTGTGTACCTATGCAAGAACACGTGTTCCTGCACGTCGTGTTACCTTGGGGTATGTGTTCATGAGACATCTGTCACAGACTGATGGATAGTTCCTGCCTTTTGGGGAGGTGCACAGTAGCTGATGGTGGAAACTTCACTGGGTGTGCTGACCCTTGGAGCAAAGCCTGCAGATGTGGCTTAGCTAAATAGGAGACTCAGGAGATAGAGCTTTGGGCACTGTCTGCAGCTCTGTCACTCAGACCACAGGGGTCAGTCTGTCGCTACTCGTGGCGGCCTTAAATGCTGTAAGTGCAGCGGGACAAGGAATGTCCACCCAGGAGCTGTGGGACTTAGCCTGGCAGGGGACGGTGCCCTGTGGATGTTGCCTGCACACCAAGGTCAGCAGCACAGCTGGGTGCTGAAGGTAGAAATCCAGGCTGCAACGAGGCTGCTTTCTAGATCCCGTGGTGTGGTGCTGTGCACTGCTGTGCCCAGGACCTCTCAGTTCCTTGTTGTCTCCTTCCCCATGACTTCTTTGGGGTGTCTGAAAATCAGAACTGAACTCACAAAGGCTGCAGGCACAAGAGACCTCTGGGCTCTCGATTACTGTCTTCTCTGCCACAGTGTCTTTGGGAAGGGGCTCCTGTGGTTTTCTCAATGGGAGGACTTTGTTGCTCTCTCTGCCTGGATTGTGGCGAAAGGCTGTTAGCAGACACAGGCTGAGGTGTACCCACTCTTGGCTGACACGTGCTTGGAGCTGGGAGACTGGACCTTCATCCCGGGGAGCAGCGGTGCTGGATGAGCACCTGTGTCAACATCTGGGTGTTCCCGTGAGCAGGAGAACTCGGGTTAGCTGTGCTGGAAATGCCTGGCTGGCTTTGGGTACCCATGAGTGGCTGCAGGCAGGAGAGGCTTTGCATGGCACTCATACTATGTGGTGGGCTCCAAAGGCTTTCCAGCATGGAAGAGGCTCTTGAGGCTTTCTGGTATGTGGTGATCTAGATATCTCCTTCAAAACAGGATCCCTTACCCTTAGCTCTGGGTGACTGAGATGGCCTGTCAAACTGTGTCCCTTTAACAGGCTTCTATACAGACATCAGGCAGGAGGATGTGGCTGAGTCTCCAAAGAGGAACTGCCCTTCAGCTGGGTTTGGATCCTGTTCATGTAACCCCTCCAGGCAACCACTTTCTGAAGTGGTTTTCCTTGCAGTGGTGGGAGTGCACCACTTGGAAATGGCCTCAAGTTGCCCATGGGGAGGTTTCTATTGGATATTAGGAAGAATTTCTTCATGAAGAGTTGTTAGGCACTGGAACAGGCTGCCCAGGAAGGTGGTGGAGTCATCATCCCTGGAGGTGTTTAAAAAATGAGTGGATGCAGCTCTTGAGGCTGTGGTCTAGCGGTTAGGGAAATGTTGGGGTGAAGGTTGGACTTGATGATCCTAGAGGTCCTTTCCAACCACAGTGATTCTATGATTCTTTCTTGTTTCCTTCATGAGAGATGACTTCTAAGATGCTGAAAATCTGCCTGGCTTGGCCTCTTCCCTGCAGAGCACAGTGCTGGGAGCAGTCTAACAGCAATTGCTGTGTGCTGAATTGCCCTTTGCCCGCTTGTTTTCCTGTGGCCAGCAGGTAACTGGAGCAGAGGGCCTGCATGGCTGGCAGAGGGCCTGCACAGCTGGCTGAGGCCACATCCAGGCCTGCGCTAGCATGGTCCCTCAGTAGCCATGGCACGCAGTGCCCAGGGCTTCTCTGTCCCTGGGACCCTCAGCTCTTGGCTGGCATTAGTGTGTGGAGGAGCATCCTTTGTTTTTCCCATCGCTGCAGAGAGGTGCGTCCAGTCCTCTAGAGCCACCCCCTGGCAGCTCTCAGACCCTGGGGTCGACCACTGCAATTTCTTGTTTCTTCATCTTAAGGATGTGGAGGCAAGATGGAGACATGATCCCAAGGAGAGAAGCTTTGAGGAAAGTCTATAATAAACAGTCTATGGGTGTTTCTCATCTGGGGCAGTCTTGGTGCATGGTGGGACTTTGAATGCATCCCCAAAATCAGGACAAGAGGAGCACAGAGAAACATCTGAACTGCCCATGAAGCTGCTTGCTCTCTAGTGTTTTGGTGACTGACTCACTGGCTGCAAGACACCTCTCTGTTCAGGCTGGAAGTGCAGCACTCAGCAGTGGCTCATGGGAGCTGCCTCTTAACCCTCAGGGAGCAAAGGGCTCTCCTTGGCTTGTGAGAAGCTGAGGCAGCCCTGTCGCAGTGAGGGCTGGAGAGACAGCTGTAAAGCAGCTGTGCTGGAATTCGGGCCCAGCTCTGCCTAAGCTCCCCGTCAGGGATCGGTTATGGCACATGCGCTTCGGGTGCGCTCCTCCTAACGCAGCGAGTTTGGGCTGTCTGGAGATGGTTGAGAACGGCACATGCTTACCTGCTCCCTTCACCCCACCTCCGTGCTCTAAGCGCCCTCCTTGTCCTGTCTTGCAGCCGTGGGGACTCGGGCAGTGATCCACTTCACCAAGGAGCCGTACTCCCAGGACGCCCTGCACGGCCGCGGCGCCATCCTCCGCTGCGAGGTGGAGGAGCCCGTGGATGTGGAGTTTGAGTGGCTGCAGAACGGGCTCCCCATCCAGGACACGGAGCAGCGCTTCAAGGAGGGCAGCAACCTCCAGTTCGCCGCTGTCGACCGGCAGCGGGATGCCGGGAACTTCCAGTGCGTGGCGAGGAACCTGCTCACCGGGGAGGAGGCCCGCTCGGCCAACGCGTCCTTCAACATCAAGTGTGAGTGCGGGGCGAGGGCAGCCGGGCACCGGCCCCGGCCTGGTGCTGCCCGCCACGGACAGGGCAAAGCGCCCTCTTGGGAGGGCCCAAGACTGGAAAGAGCTCTGCCAGGCTGCCTGCTGACCGGGGTTTATTGGGACGAAACAGGGATTGGGTGGCATGAACTGTGCAGGTGGGGTTCTGCTCCAGCTAACGTGTCTTTCGTGCCTTCTAGGCCACTGGTATCTTCTGACATTCCCCATGGCTGTCAGAGATGCTTTCTCCTGCCACCTTCTCCATTTGCATATATATGAAACGGGGATGTTACTGCACCAAGTGTGTCCTGAGCACTGCAGATCCTTTCAGAGCCACTCTTACCCCTCAGAGAACAGCTATGCAGGACAAAATGGGATATTTGCAGGATGGGTGTCCCTCTACTCTGTGCTGGCTTGCTGGCTTATGTGTTTCTGAGCGTGCTTGTGCCCTTGCTGCCTGCTCTGGTTGTTAGAGTCAGCGTTCACCTGGGCTCTGTAGGTTCGAGAGCCAGCTGTGTTGATATTCTTTGGTCCCACAGGGATTGAGACAGGCAATGTGGTGCTGAAGCAGCCGGCCAGCGTAGCTGAGATCCAGCCCTCCTCCACAGTGGTGCTGCGGTGTCACATCGACGGCCACCCGCGGTAAGGGTTGCCTCCTGAGGAGTGGACCCTGCCGGGGGTCCCCCTGCACCTTCGCCGTGTGCTCTTCCCCTCTCTCTATCTCTCTCTCCTCTCTCCTGTGAGGATTCAATAGAGTCTAGGGAAGGCGAAAGGCAGAATTGAGCCTGTGGCTGAGCACCGGGGGAGAAGGCAAATGGCTTCCTCAGAGCCACGTAGCAAGGAGCACAGTAAGGACAGGCTGTCACAGTCTGGTTGCTGAGCCGCTTCGTGTGCTGCAGTCACTCTCTGTTGCTTTCCAGTCATGTCCCATCCACTTGGCTGCATGTCTCATGGCTTCGTGTCTGTGTCGGCACCAGCAGTGGGTTTGGAGAGCCAGGGAAACGGGCCATCTCTGGGCTGTCTCCTCCGCACGTGTGCTCTCTGGGGAGCCCTGCTGGGGCGCTGCACCTCGTCACCCCCTTGTCCCTGTCTTGCAGCCCCACGTGGCAGTGGTTTCGGGACGGTACCCCCCTCCCCGACGGCCACAGCACCTACTCAGTCAGCAACAAGGAGCGAACGCTGACCCTGCAGAGCGCCAGCCCCGACGACAACGGCCTCTACTACTGCTGCGCCCGCAGCGCCGTCGGCTTCGTCTGCAGCCAGAACAACTTCACCCTGAATGTCATCGGTGAGTGGGGGCCTGGATGTTCTGCTGCGCTGGTAACAGCCTCCCCTCTCCTGCAGGAGGAGTGTCAGGCTGCTGTGACATCTTCTGTGCTCTCTGGCCTGTTGTAGCTGGTGGGGTTTGAACACTGCCACATCTACAGGTGTTAATTTTCCCCTCCGTCTTTCTGGAGCAGACCTGTGTTGTTGCCCCTGGTGCTAGAGCACAAGGGTCCCCCTCCTTCAACAGAGTTTGGACCCTGGAGGCTGTAGGTGCTGCTAGGTTTGGTAATACCAGTACCTCATGGGTGAGACATCCCATTCATCTTTGTAGACAAGGCCCACAGAGGGCAGGAGATGTTGACTGTAGAGAGGTGTTTGGAATTGTACAAGGGCATTTGCAGTCCAGTGACAGTTTGATGTGTTTGCTAGGAACCCAGGGTGCCCAGGGCTTTGCTGGAAGGAGAAAGGTCTTTCCCCAGAGCAGCTACTGCGTGTCATCCCAGGCCGTGGCCGTGTTAACTATGGCCATGCTGGCACGTCTGCCTCCTTTAGGCTTGCAGTGTGTGCCCAGCTCTTTGCTTTTTGAGTTTCCCCCAGAGCACTGGTGAAGGGACACCACAGGCTGGTCTGCTCATCTCATCCTCCTGTGGTCTCTGCCGTTGCAGATGAGAGCTTTCCTCAGGCAGTGATCGTCCCACAGGACCTCATCGTGACCAAGAATGAAGAGGCCATGTTTGACTGCCAGTTTTCAGCTGTGCCCCCTCCCACACAGGAGTGGCTCTTTGAAGACAATCCCATCACCAACAGATCCAAGTAATGGGGACCCAAGTGAAGTGGACAGGGCTGGGAGGAAAGGGTGCACAGTGTTCCAGAAGCAATAGAGAGGCCAAACCCTGGCCTGTGGGCAAGCATTCAACATCAGGATGGCCATTGGGATTGGTTTCTTACCTTGGCTGTCTTGGGTTTAGCAGGGATGGCCTTGGTACTTGTGCATGGCCTTTACCTCCATAGGACTCAGCAAAAAGTTTGTCCTGAAATGAGTCCATGGGACTGTCAGTCCCAGATGCCGACACATGATGATCCCCAAAGTTGGGTATGTCTCCCAGCCCTAGGTGTTCGCATATGGCAGTTTTCATGGGGCTAGGGACAGCTCAAGCCCCAGACACTCAGGACAATTCCTGGAGTCAGGGATGTGTCCCAGTATGAGATGCCCATAGGTGGTGATCCCTAGACTCAGGGACACCTCCCATCTCCCAACATCTGCACAGCAATCACTGGGAGAGCCCATGGCTGTTTGCACCTCCGGATACCACTGCATGGTGATCCCTAGAGCCAGGAATGTTTGAGCCCCAAACACCTATGCATGTGGCAGTTCCCAGAGCTGGGGACATCTAGTCCAGGCTGCCCATAGACAGTGATCCTGGAGCCTGGGATGTCTCAGCCAGACTGTGCAAGGCAAGTGGTGCTACCTGGTGCCGGATGCCCAGTGGCCTGGCAGCCCCCAGGTGCCACCTTGTGCCCCCTACCCCTGTGCCAGCTTTCAGAGCTGGCCCAGTTTAGTGATGCATCTTTTGGTGTGAGCCAGCTCTTCTCCAAGGAAGAAACTTCTATTAGATCATTTCCTTCAGGCAGCATGTATCACACCATCTCCTTGTTTATGTGTGCTGCTTCCCCTGCACGGAGAAGCTTTGACTCGGCACAGAAATCTTCCTCTTGGTTCCATGGGCTCATGTAGGACATCATGGGGTTGTGGCTCTGGTCCATGTCCTGTGGAGATGCCCACTGAGCCCTGCCTCTCCCCATGTGTCCAGGACCACCATCTTTGCCAATGGCTCCCTGCTGATCACCCAGGTGAGGGCTCGCAGCACCGGTGTCTATAAGTGCGTTGGCCGTGGGCAGAGAGGGAAAGCTCTTGTGCTGAAGGCGACTCTGCAGCTAGCAGGTGAGCTCCTGGGCCTGATGTTGGGGTGAGCAGTGGGTCCCAGAGTCACAGTGTCACTCTGGAGCTACGTGACAGTAGAGTCCTGAGTCAATACATGGAGAACTGCTTGGTTTATCTGTGAAATGGCTCATCCTTGCTACCTGGATGAGAGGAGCAAGCATAGCTTGTGCGCGCTCTCTCTCGGCTGGTGCCTTCCGTGGGGATGACCATGATGATGATGATGATGGTGGGTTGTCTAAACGTTCTTGCCCTGTTTGAGCCCCTGTCTGTTGCTTCTCTCAGAGATCGAAGACATGGCGCCCTTCTCCTCGAAAGTACTGACGGCGAACCAGGGGCACCGTGTAGCCTGCACTGCCCCCCAAGGCATACCCACACCCCAGGTCTGGTGGGAGAGGAACCAGAAACGAATTCCCACTGCTGGCAGAGTGCACCAAGAGGCAGAGCAGCTTGTTTTCACCAGTATCACCGAGATGGATGCGGGGACCTACACGTGCCATGCTGCCAACAAGGCTGGAGAGAAAAAACAGGAGCTGAGCATCATTGTGGCTAGTAGGCAGCTTTCTTTGAAAAGGGGTGGGAGTAAAGCAAGGGACCGGCTAGGGGGCTGGAGTGAGCTGGGGTGGGATGGCACGTCACCTGCCGGGTGCAGAGCCACATCTCTCATGGCTGGGCTGCACGCTGCCTGTCCGGTCTACACTGGTGCTGGCCAGAGGGGTGGTGAGCAGCCCTGTGTAACCCCTTGCCTCCCTGCCCAGCGGTACCCAAATGGGTGGAGATGCCCAAGGACAGTCAGCTGGAGGAGAGCAAGCCAGGATATCTACACTGCCTCAGCAAGGCCTCCCTGAAACCCACCGTCACCTGGTACCGCAATGGCGTCTCCATCTCTGAGGTGAGGCGATGGGGCAAGCCCCTGCCACTCGTTGGCACTTCTGCCAGGCAGGTACTTGGTTCCTTCCTCTGCTGCTGCTGTTTCTCACATTGCTCCTAGGCCCAGCATCGCTGTCACCCCTACTTTGGCCATGTTCCTGACACTGTCTCCAACCTACTAGTGTATGGGTGCACAGCTGGCTGCCCCTAG